CCACTTGAAGAGCCACCACTTGAAGAACCACCACTTGAAGAGCCGCCGGTTGAAGAAGCACCTGTTGATGATCCACCAGTCTCGGTTGAAGAGCCGCCGGTTGAAGAACCACCTGTTGATGATCCACCGGTTTCAGTTGAAGATCCACCAGTTGAAGAACCACCACTTGAAGAACCACCACTTGAAGAGCCGCCGATTGAAGAAGCACCTGTTGATGACCCACCGGTTTCAGTTGAAGATCCACCAGTTGATGATCCACCTGTTGACGATCCTCCAGTCTCGGTTGATGAACCACCAGTTGAAGAACCTCCAGTTGATGATCCACCAGTCTCAGTTGAAGATGCATCAGTTGAAGAACCACCGGTTAAAGAACCACCAGTGGATGATCCACCGGTCGATGAAGCGCTAGTTGAAGAACCACCAGTTGAAGAACCGCCAGTGGATGACCCACCAGTCTCAGTTGAAGATCCACCTGTTGCTGATCCACCAGTCTCGGTTGAAGAACCACCGGTTGATGATCCACCAGTCTCGGTTGAAGAACCGCCAGTTGATGATCCACCGGTTTCAGTTGAAGATCCACCAGTTGAAGAACCTCCAGTTGAAGAAGCACCAGTCTCGGTTGATGAACCACCGGTTGAAGAACCACCAGTTGAAGAACCGCCAGTGGATGACCCACCAGTCTCAGTTGATGATCCACCACTTGAAGAGCCACCACTTGAAGAACCACCACTTGAAGAGCCGCCGGTTGAAGAAGCACCTGTTGATGATCCACCAGTCTCGGTTGAAGAGCCGCCGGTTGAAGAACCACCTGTTGATGATCCACCGGTTTCAGTTGAAGATCCACCAGTTGAAGAACCACCTGTTGATGATCCACCAGTCTCAGTTGAAGATGCAACAGTTGAAGAACCACCTGTTGATGATCCACCGGTTTCAGTTGATGATCCACCAGTCTCGGTTGAAGATCCACCAGTTGAAGGACCTCCAGTTGAAGAAGCACCAGTCTCGGTTGATGAACCACCGGTTGAAGAACCACCAGTTGAAGAACCGCCAGTTGAAGAACCGCCAGTGGATGACCCACCAGTCTCAGTTGAAGATCCACCTGTTGCTGATCCACCAGTCTCGGTTGAAGAACCACCGGTTGATGATCCACCAGTCTCGGTTGAAGAACCACCAGTCGAAGAACCACCAGTTGAAGAACCGCCAGTGGATGACCCACCAGTCTCAGTTGAAGAACCACCGGTTGAAGATCCACCTGTTGATGATCCACCGGTTTCAGTTGAAGATCCACCAGTTGAAGAAGCACCTGTTGATGATCCACCAGTCTCAGTTGAAGAACCACCTGTTGATGATCCACCGGTTTCAGTTGAAGATGCACCAGTTGAAGAAGCACCTGTTGATGATCCACCAGTCTCGGTTGATGAACCACCGGTTGAAGAACCACCAGTTGAAGAACCGCCAGTGGATGACCCACCAGTCTCGGTTGAAGAAGCACCTGTTGATGATCCACCGGTTTCAGTTGAAGATCCACCAGTTGAAGAACCGCCAGTGGATGACCCACCAGTGGATGATCCACCTGTCTCAGTTGATGATCCACCAGTTGAAGAGCCACCAGTGGAAGAACCACTTGAAGAACCACTGGTTGATGATCCACCAGTCTCGGTTGAAGAAGCACCAGTGGATGACCCACCAGTCTCGGTTGATGAACCACCGGTTGAAGAACCACCAGTTGAAGAACCACCGGTTGATGACCCACCAGTCTCGGTTGAAGAACCGCCAGTGGATGACCCACCGGTTTCAGTTGAAGATCCACCAGTTGAAGAAGCACCGGTTGATGACCCACCAGTCTCAGTTGAAGATCCACCTGTTGATGATCCACCTGTTGGAGAACCGCCAGTGGATGACCCACCAGTCTCGGTTG